ACAGACTTCAACGCCAGCATTAGCACAAGTTCCAGCAATAAGCTGCAGAGCACCAAAGTCCATTGTGCTGTTGGAATGTTTAAAGGAATTTGACATAAACACATACATGGCCTTAAGATCAAGGCTCCCTAAAGCTCTGGAGGTGTCATTCCCAGTCTGCTACAAATGCCACTTCTAAAGGAGAATTTAAATTCAGTTTGTCTGTTGGACAGAAAAGCCAGACAACCAAATGTTCTTGGGGCAGAAATGCATCTCATCTTGCTGCACAAATCTAATCAAGACTTGGAAGGAAAAAAAGAAGAAGTATCTGGAAATTGCCTACATAAATCTATCTGACATCCATTTCGTCAGGAAGAAAGAGAGCAATAACAGTTCATGGAGGTTGATCTCTTCTGTCCTGCAAGATGCAGTTTATAAACATCTGTAAAGACCAGAATTTGTGTATATACTTTTGCAGGAAGTTTGATAATACAAAACACTAATACAAAACTGTGCCATCAGCTCCTCCCCAGCCTTCAAACTAAGAAGAAAATTTGAAATTAAGGTTACTCATATCAAAATACTTTCTTTGAGTTTTCATCCTAGTAAAGGGTGATTACACACAATTACCTGATGACTCCTGGTCATCTCAAATCAAATTGAAATAAAGCAAGTGAAAAAGGTGCAGAGAGTTGATGCAGAGAAAGTAAAAAAAAAATACATTAAAAAATGAAGGCTAGGCTGCTCTGGTTGAGGACTGGAGCTAAATAATGACTGTTCTCATTGATATATTGCGACAAATGCCTGCTGAGTTTCTCCCCACTTTGAATTGATATTTGTATTTCTAAACCCACATTCAGTAAGATACTGCAACCACATATTCCAACATGTCTGATGCATTCACATAGATACTTAAAACACAAATTTATAGCAGCTTATGGCAACCCTGGGCAAGAGTTCAAATCCAAATGCAGAGCAGCAACCGAGCGCAGGCAGAAGAGGCCACCAGAACTTCATGGAACAAACTGCATTTTCCCCAGGTTTGCTGAGGTTGAAAGCAAAGGAAGCAATAAAGCTGAGGAGTTTTTAGGGGGCATTAATTTCTTTCATATGAAACTTGTTTAACAACGTACTGTCTCAAAACAGTTCCCAAAACACATCCAGCAACCACAGTAACTTCACCACCACCCTACAGAAACTGCTGTCCCTTACCAGCCAACTGGGGGCAAGGAAACAAAGTGTTTCAGATCTCTTCAAATAAGCACCACCCTATAACCAGAAATATTGTGATGCATACTCTCAGATAAAAAGATAAAAGTACAATTATATCTTTGATCTCTGGGGTTTTGATTTGCGTAGCTCTGCCATCAATTTACTAATTCCAAAATTACATTTCCTACAGTCAACGACACACAACATTGCTTCAGGCATCCTATTCCTTTTTTTCCCCCAGTGGCAGGAAGACAAGAAAACGTACAGTCATATTCCAATACACATCCTGTCTCCTGAAACAACCCTCCTGGGAACAAACCAGGCCTCCAGTCTGTATGTCAGCACAGCAAATCTCATCCCGCTGGCACAGCCGTGGTTTAATCCCAATCTGTCAGCACAGGGGCACTCACACACACACACACTTACAGCAATATTCTGATAAATCCCACACTGCCTTACATAAACAACGTGCTCTGCAATCCAGGGATAACAGGGGGCTTTGCAGGTGCTCAAGAACAAGGAGACATCACTACTATACCAGTGGAAAAATTCCTCAAGGCTAGGAATGAATCTCTGTTTACAAATGAATTCTGTAAAAAGAAATAAAATCAACTGCATTTTAAATGATGAGAAGTATCTCAATTGGTTATATTTTTACTTTTGCTGTTCTCTGTGGCTTTTGTATATGCAAAAACTGCAGAACAGTTATAGGAAAGAACTACCTCCACTCAACACTTAATTAAGGGAAAAACAAGGGTTGATCTAATTGATGACTGTTCTACGAGTAAGGCACAACATAAAGTAAGAAAACCTTTTGTTCTTTTGAAAGTGTCCCCGTACTGTCAGAAGTCATGAGCCAGCCTTGCAGGTGGTTCTGCTGCACACGGATCCCACATTTGCAGGGATCCTGTGGAAGGCAGAGACGCTGCATGCACTGCAAGATTCTCACTCCCACACAAAGGCACTGCTCTTACAATGAGCTGCTGCAAAAGCCCACTTTTAAATCACCCCAGAAGGAAAACAACCCCTGGGTGTTCATATCAGCTTCTGCCCCCGAGTCCTGCCCCGCAGCAATGACTGCAGCCAGTGACAGTCAGTGACAGGACACTGCTCCATCCCAGTGTCACCGTGGCTGGATCTACACCCCCGGGAGGGAGGCAGAACAGGGCATGTTTCGTGCTCTTTGATTATAAAGTAAACTTCACCAGTGACAAACACAAAGGACCCAGACCCCTCAGAGGCCAGAACTAACCCTGATTCACTTCAGCCACGTGTTGATCCTCTTCTGTAATGACAGGACTTGCTAATCAATAGTATGAGCCACTCCACAGTGCAAGAAGAACTGTGTTAGATGACTGGCAGCAACAGAGGAACCACAGGACACTGCAGTTAAGCTGGGGAGCTCTGGAGGTTACCCACAAACCCCTCCACAAAGCAGGGCTCACCTGGAGGTTAAATCAGGTGGTTCAGGACCTCGTCTCATGCTGAAGTCCAAGGAGGAAGAGCTGGGAAGCACAGCACCTGGTGGGGGCTTTGCTCAGAAAACAGGACATTCTGAGCTCACTTGTGCACTCAGAACATCGACCTTACCAGCCAAGTGCAGAACATCCAGTTCCTTCTACGGCCAGAACTCGCCTTTAAATATGGATCTTGGGGAAAATGGCATTTCTCCATTAATCCAATACACTCCGGTCTGCTTGAGCCCAAACTAAATTATGTCCAGCTGCATTATTTCGATACAAAACAAGAGGCAGAACCATTAATCTTGTGAAAACACATTAAACATGCACACCTGACCTTTCCACCAAGGACAAATATCCCCTTTCATGACTTCAACAAACACTGCCAGGTAATACACGGTATCAGCGCTGAGAATCACGGGGTTATCAATTTTTTTGCCACAGAACAGCATTCACAAAAACCTTTCAACACGGAAGGAGATAACAGCAGTCCTTGTAAGCAGATGATCTTCCCACTTCAAGGTCTTCTGGTCTCAAGGATTTGCAGAATTTTCCAAAATCTGCAAGTTTTCTTTTTTTTTTAAATGGTGTTTCAAACCTCTTTAGAAATTACAACCTGTTGGACTGCAAATGCACACACTGCTGTTTAGAAGCTGGTCTCAGGCAAGTAAATCCCAACAAAACCAGAAAAACTGGATAAGTACATTCACCCCATTCATCTCAATTGGATGAAAGCTATGAAGCCTAAAATGCGAGAGAATTTAAATTCCTGCATTTATGAGTCATATCAGTGATGACCACACAAAGAATTACTTACTTAAAAGTACAAGTATAATATTTGGGACATTTTTCCCCCAGCTGGTTGAATATTAAAAAACAGAGAGACAACCAAAGCATGACTGTCCAACCAAAACTCAGTGGAGATCTGTAGTTATGCAGTTGTGTTTTAAAGAATTATATTTCTAGTATTTAATAAGAATTCAAGCCTAACCTCAGAAATATACAACTCTCTACATGGATTACACTTCCTATTCCACAGAGTATCGAAATTTGTGTCCATACAACAGGCAAAACTTTTAATGTCATGATACTGCAGATGCATCTAAAATACCTGACTCTTCTCTGAGCAGCCCAGTGTACATTTAAACAGCCTTTTGGAGCTGCAACATCTTTGAAACCAGCATAAACTTCTATGCACATCCACAGTACTTGACAGAACGCTTTCACACATTCCAGAGAGAAGGATGTTACGAGGGCACACAGGAGCCAAAAGCTCTTCCTAGGAAAAGTGGATGGTTTCCATAACCAGGGATGACGTGACAGTTGTGTGAGGTGGTTACAGTGTCAGGACTCTGCCTTTGGCAGATGTTTCCACAGCACTCCCACACCATGAGTCACCTGGGACCGCTCTGGTTCCACATCATCAACAAAACACTTCATTCATGCTGAATTGGGTGAACAGGGAGGGCAGCACATAGCTGTGCTCAGAGGAGTGGCATCACCAGGCAACATCCTTCATGGGGATAGTCTAGGCTCACATTTCTGTCACAAAGTAGTAGCTACAACATTAATTTTCTATTTTACCGATGTAATTTTCTGTGTTTCGGGCAGATTTTTAGGAGGGGACCTAGAACTCTTCAACCATGTTTTTATTGTGCTATTTTGTGAGGTGCAGTAAAAATCAGCGTTCTGTAGGACGAGAACATCAATTAAATCCACTTCTCAGGCAGAATCTGAGAGAAAGAGGCAATAAATTGGACAGATGAAGAGCCAGACCTGTGCTTCTGTAGCCATCTTGCACCAGCATGCTTGGGATTTTTTGCCTGGAGTGCAAACAGCTGAAGTTGATTTTGATTTAAATTTTCCGGATGATATTAAAAGCAGCTTAGCTTGAGCGATGTGTCAGATTTACGGACTCCCGTGCTGGGATTTGCCGAGGGCAGGGAGAGCTACACCTGCCTTCTGTGCGATGTCAGAACTGATGAGCCGGGGTCCCAGCTCTGGGAAGATCACTGTGCTGGAGACGCGGTTTTGCAGCACTGTTGCACTAAGATCTTCCCAGCGCTGAAACCAAATGCCTTGCTTTTGGTGCAGTGCAAGAGAAAAACTTACTGTCTCTCCCTTAATATTGCAAGATTTTGAGGCTTTGCTAGAAAATAACGATAACCGATAGTATCTAGAAATCCAGCTATCACACAGCCTGCCGCTGACAAATCTGGGCGGCTTGAAAACGGCAGGTGCAAGCCGAGCTGTAAGAAGCAAGGAGGGGGTATTCTGCCAGCCCTACATTCTCCTCCCTTCCCTTTAAACCCCACCCCACCCCACCACCAGAGAAGTCAGCCCCCTTACCTGATAATATCATCGTTGTGCCCGAGGAAGAATTTCTGGCTGTGCTCCCTGGTGTTGTAAACCACGCCGACTCCGGCCACGAAGTACACGACCTCTTTCCCTGCCGTGTAGTACAGGTTGTTGCGGCACTGGTGGCCCCGGTAGCCGTACACCCACTCCAGCCGGAGCTGGCAGCGCGGAGCCGTCCGATCCGCCATGATAACCAACCCCCTGCCCACCCGCACACAGCCGAGCGCTGACCCGCCTGCCCCCGGCACGCTTTCCCCTTTCCGGCGTCGGCGATGCTTGCCCAGCTGCCGGAGCCTCAGGTGGCCCTTCGGAGCGGGGAAGGGGCCGGGAAGCGCATCGGCGGGGCCGGGATGCCGCCGCTCAGCTCAGCTCAGCGCCGCCACCATCATCTGCCGCCGCCGCTGCCCAGGACGAGCCGCCGCCGCTCCGCCGCCGCCGCGCCACCAGCCAACTTCTCGGGGGCACAGCGGCACACCTACATGGGCAGCACACGGGGCCTGCCGTCCTCCCGAAGGCAAAGTAACTTCTGTGCGTCACCAGCACCACCTGCCAAAGGCTTCCCGCTGCGCCTCCCGTGCGGCACCTTCTTGGCTTCCTGCACAGCGCTCCCTGGGCGCTCCTCTTTTTAACATAGTTACCCCCGGGGCCAGAGCTGAAAGAGAAGAAAACACAAGCCCCGTGGGTTTGAATGGCAGAGTGCACGTGTGTTTAAAAGGGACTGCTGGGGATGGGGGGAGCGCTGCCTGACGGGGGGGGACTGTTTGGGTGAGGGGAGCTCCGCTGGGATGGGCGCTGGGGGTGCTCTGGGTGCTTCTGAGCCCCTTTCACACGGTCCAACGCTCCGAGTCCTCACAGGAATCCTCTCTTTCGATACCGTCTCGTACACAACATCCAGCATAAAATATGGGGATATAACCCAGCTTTCCTTATCCCCCAGCGACCCAAAACTTCCTCCTTTTGGATTCTACAGCAACCGCATAATTAAAACAAGTTTAAATTTCCCATTTTCAGTCACTCCAATTCACCACGAGGTAGTGGGGGCTGGTGGCTTATTTTTTGCCCCCCCCCCCCTTTTTTTTTTTTTTTTTTTTTTTTTGTACTGCCATCCTTTGGAATGATATTTCAAGGAACACATTTCCTCGTTTGTGTTCTGCTTTTCCTAAAGCAGAATTTGTATTATCAGCCGTGCGTGGTTGCTGCATGTCGTTGGTGATAAGACATCCACCGCTTTATAGTATCGCTCCACAGGAGCCCAAACCCAGCCCTCCAGAAACTCGGCCACAACCGCAGGGAAGAGGATGCTGGAATCACAGAACCAAACATTCACAGGGCACAGCGCCAGACGGACGGGAAGAGGGGAATTAATTCCAAGGCTGACAACAACCCCTGTACCTTTTCCCACACTGCACGCCTCACACCGACGTGCGCGTCGGCACCGCTCACACCCGGGGTCACAGCGCCGGCAGCACTCCGGGACGCGGCGGCGGGACTGCCGCCCGCAGGGAACGCGCTGCTCGCCCGAGGCGAACCTCGGAGCCTCCGGACCCACCTCCAGCGGGAGCCCGGCCCCCGGCGGGCGGGCGGGGCCCTCACGGAGCCCTCACGGCGCCCGCCCTGGGGCGGGGCCGCCGCGCGCGGCGCCTCACGGGGCGCGAGCCCTTCCCGCCCTTTCGAGGTCCGGGGCCGTGAGGGGCCGTGAGGGGCCGTGAGGGGCCGTGAGGGGCCG